ACTAAGAAGAATATGAACTATTAATTTTTGCCCATTGCTGGCTTTTAAATGTTATCTCAGAACTTTTCTTAAATCCTTGCTCCTAGAGGTGATGAGATCTGTGAGTGGGCTTCCCCCAACTGCTTCAGGAGGGAACACACTCTCATCAGCATGGACAATCCTCCCTCTGGGCAACGCCACCGCAATGACAATGAAAAATGAATAACAAACAGAAAAGTCAGAAACATAAAAAATAAACATTAAATTTATTTAAATAAAAATATACACATAGTGTACAATGGACATGGCTTACAGACAGCAATGAAACAAAACTGATAAACCCTGAAATATAAAAAGCATTGAATTCCTATAGTTGTGCTTTGTTTCTCTGGACACACACATGCTGCGGACTGAGGTCCTGTTAATGTTACTGATACACAGCCCTGTGTGCTCCAGAATGTAAGACAGGAACATCACAAGGAACAGCTACACAAAAGGAAAACAAGTACCAAAGTAATTTGGGATTTTAGAAGTTTTAAAGTCAGGCCATTCATAAACAGAAGTGCTGAAAACTTTCAAGGCACTTTGCATGCAAGGAAGGAGTAACCAAACACCACTGCAGCGTGGTTGAATTCTCACTGCTCTGAACCTGGCATGGCCAGGGCACTCTGTTAGCACAGACTCCAACTGTAACCTTTTTTCCCAGCCAGCACACAAATCCTGTGCCTTATGTTTCAGCTCTTTGGAATAGGGAGACGCTGGTTCACAAGTGTCTTACAGTTCATTTATCCTGAAGTATTTGCTCATATCTGAGCAAATGTAAGTTTTTAACTTGGATCGTGAGTATCATGCTGATAGTCACGGCTGTTATATTACTTATTCAGCAGATGCTATGAAAGAAAGAGAAAATAAATGTTTGAGTCCTGCAGAGTGCAAGCCAAATGCTTGGCAGCACAACAGTTGAGGTGTTGTATGGCTAAGGGAAAACCCCAGTGTTTTAAGGACTGAAGTCTGTGATTTTTTTCTCTCTAAAAAATCATTTGTATGATTTTTTTTTTGTAAACACACAATATACAAGGTAAGTTTGTGTTTTCGAGAACAGCAAATTACTTTAAAGCATTTCCATTGTAAACATCTGCTTTTAAGCTGCAAGGAAGTGAAAAGCAAGATGCAAACATGCCTCATGGCACTACCTATACAGCGCAGTTCTTTATAATAAAAAAGAGCATAAATATAAATATCAATAGTTTCAAGTTTACAACATAACCAACTGACACAATGTACGTATAAGACTGTTAAGTGATTACATACATTAACTCACACAAGTAATTTTGCTGCATAGTTTTCAATGCAATTCCTTTCTTTATTACACTGGTGGATGTTCAGTGCATTTCATGCTTTTTTTTAAATGGACCAAAGGATTTCTTGGAACTTGTGTTTAATCTAGAAATAAAAATAATTTTTTCCTGAAACTTTTAATAGGCATATTATAGAGTAGGCTTCAGAACGGAGTGTTGCACTTCTTTATACCAAAATTACTAATGAAGATTTAGAATATCATTACAAGTTATTCCACTGCAACTAAGTAAATTTTCATCAGGAGAGATTGATTTAGACACAAAATTGTTTGTTAATTTCCTCATTTCACTTATGTAATGGCAAAATTCAGACAGAAAAAAATTAACATTGCAAAGGGCTTCATTAAGGCTACTTCCCAGTTAATATTTTGTTTCAGCTGTCCTCCTAAATTATTATTTTTTATAACACAGACATTGCTAGGATTCCATCAAAATACATAGCTTCACATAGGCAAAAATCACACAACATGATTAAAAATTTTTGCTTTTTAATTGCTCCATAAAAGCCAAAGTATGAACATTAATCAGAATGCATTTTAAATTCCTCAGAAGACTTCAAAAACAAAAAAAACCTGCCTGCTTAATGTCAGTCATAAACATGTATTATAAACAATAGATAATATAATGTCACTCATAGACATGTATTATAACAATATTACAATCATTTCTGGGAAAAAAATACTTTAACATTCCTTTCCTTATGTTTTTAGTTATTTTAGGCTAGCTCTCTATTTAGTCACTACTCTGTGGTACAAAACCCCCATGGAAGTGTGTGATGCATTGTACAAATATTGAAAGCTAGAAGCCCTTATTTCAGGATTCCTCGAGACAGATCCTGATTAGATTTCTAGAAATAATATCATCTCTAAGACAAGATTTGGCTTTAGATGCCAGATGTATTTTTGAATTTTCATCTTCTAGCCCTTAAGAACTGCCCTCCTCTAAAAGCAGATTATTTTATACCTTACAAAAGTTTTAAGACAGCAGTTATGGAACAGTTTTTGTGGAGCCACCATCAAAATCACTCTGCTTATGTTATCCCTCTGCAAGACAAACAATGTAGTTTGCTCATAAAAATTAAGTAGTGCACTGAAATGCACAGTGAGCTAGAAGATAATGTGCAAGACCCCAGGGATGATTTAACTCCTCTGTCAGACAAACAACCCACAGGGCTGGGAGCAGCTGCTACAAAGAGTAAATGTACTCCATGTAACACAACTATCAACCTGCAGCAAGCCCCTCTTTGTTTCTCCATAAAAGGCAAACCAGAAAACCCCAAAATTTTGAATCCATGGCCAGCTGACGGCACAGCCTTTGCCCACAGGGACCACAGTAGCCCCAGCAGGCACTGACCAAACAACAAAATCTTTGGGCCTGTTTTGCTACTGAAGCAACGAGGTTTTTCCAGGAGACTTGGAGCACTTGTGCAGGTTTTACAAAGCTCTCCAGACCTACAACAAGATGTTCCAATCCAAATATCAGTGAGAAAAATTTCAGCACTATTTAGCACAGAGCTCAGGCAACTCTTCTGTAATGGCCCAAGCACAAGGCTTCACGGCAGCTGACTGATGTATTTGTGGTTTTGTCTAATTATCTTTAGCAAATAAGGGATTTATTTAATTTCACAAGAACATACTGTGAATGGTTGCTAAAACAAAAAGGATAGCAATCCAGTGCCATTTTTTCTTTCTCCTCATCAAATCCATGGCTTCAGCGTGAAAAACAATTTCAACGCAAAAATAACATGGTAGTGATAACAGCAATTTAGAGCCTGGGCAGGGTTAAAATGCTGAGGCAAAATCTTGAAATACTATTTTCCTGGCAAGAAAATCTAGAATAATTTCATATTTTAATGTGACAGAATGCCAATGGGACTCAGACAAAGAAGTCTAGGTACCTATAGCACCCAGCAAAGAGCACCATCTCCACTGAGATTTTTACAGACAGTTTCAGAATTACTGTGCAATGGTTGGCATTCTCTACTGCATGCCTGGAGGTTATTTCAGAGACCCATAAGGAATTTATCACTATCTCTAAACTGCATATGTAGGGGTTCTTTAAGCTAATAATAAACATGTATATAGTGAGGGTTAGTGCAGCAGCCTGACACAAGAAAAATTACTTTTCTAGGAAAGATTATGTTCCATAAATTCAGAAAAAAGTTTCACACAGATCAGCTACATTATATTAATAGACAAACACTAATTTATGCACATATCCAGCCACCCAATGAGTATTGTCCCCTTCTACTGGTACATGACAAGAAGAAATCAAGGCATTATGTTCTCATGAGTCTGAGCTTATCTGTGATGCATTGTCAACTCTTCTGACATATACTGAATACATTCCAAGAAAAAGGAAGCAATTAATGACAGCATATTATATAATAGAAATAAAAAACTAATGCACCAAAACACTACTTACATTATCTACTTTTCTTGGAAAAAATAGTTCCAATTAGCTAATGTATTGTATAGGTGAATTTCTGGCTCCACTGAAGTCAATGAGTATTAGAACAAGAATCTCTTTCTGATGTTTTCCTACAAACTCCAAAGCCTGATCTTGCAAATACACAAGATGGATTTAATTTTAGGCAAATGATAGATCAGTTCCATGGATCACCCAAATAGAATTTGCAGAATCAGGCTCTCAAATTCTGTTATAGTTACAGATTTATACCCAGTAATGAATATTAATGGATTAAAAAGAACTAATTAAAAGTCACAGTGTACAGAGATTTCTTTGACTTCCATAGGAGTAAGCAAACATTTACTTCTTTATCCATGGCAATTACAATTTCCTACAGATGCTCAAATTCCCAGGGTAGTTTCATTAGGCTACATTTCTCATACTTCTGCTCTAGATATAAAAAGAAGGCATTGCATAAAGGTCAGTAACCAGTGAATACTTGGGAATTTTAAATTGTATTCCTCTCTGGGAGGCAGAAGAAGGTAAATAGAAGTAAATAGACACAATTAGAAAACACAAATGTTCTTTGCAAGACAAATTTCAGGATTAACACCAGCTGGCAGAACATTAACATTCATTTTTAAAGCTGATAGCTCTTCATCCTAGAGTGTCTACCTGCAGCATTACAAATTTGATATAAATCAGCTGCTGTGGCTAACTAGTCCTAGTACAGCAGTTTACTCATAACATTTATTTTAGGCTTTCTAATAACATACAAGTTTTCAGAGTCTAAAGATACATTAACTCCTGTATATACAACTTATTTTCCCTAGCACTAAAGAAAATTTGCTTTTAAGGGTTTACACTAAAGAGGAGGTGAAATTCAAGTCACATTACTTGTGGAATTAATCGCCCTGATTTCAGTGTGATCTATGTGAAAGCGAAATAAGTGGTATTTGGCTGGGGTACAGAAAACCAAGAGTGATACATCCAAATGAACCGCAGGGAATCAAAATGGAATTACTGAAATTACAGTCTGCAATTACTAAAAACACATTATGAAGTTACCACGCTTATGTAAAGAAGCTAATTGTAATTACCAAAATTATATTTAGCCCAGGTATTAGCATTAGCATCTTTCATAAACATTTCTGTGAAGGGTTTAATCCTTAGTGATCAAGACCTCAGTGCTCTGCTGGTTACAGAAAACACCTTTTCCAGCAGTAAGATACCCCTTAAATCAAATCTCAGGGTTTGGTTTGGAGTCAGAATGCCACCTTCCAGATTACTAATCTCTGTTCCTACAGCAAATGCCATTTCCCTTTTTAATCTTCAATCAAATGACCCCAGAAACTAATTCCAGCTGGCTTATGAGTCATACTAAGCTTCAATTTCACAAAGATAAGTTGAATATATTTGATTTTCAGAATATCCAGTCCATTGCTTTTTCATGGTTTTATTTCATAATGACTAATCAGATTAATTTCAGTGTAAAGTGATAAAACCTGCTAAAAATAACACCTCCACTGGTCATACATTCCCAATTCATATGTCATAAACAGCAGTTGTTATATTCACTAATTAGCATGATACATGCTCCTGATTACACTTTTGTTAAACTTAGGTGTCAGCTTTTCCATATGTCCCCTCTGGAGGTCTGTAGTACTTTGGGAAAGCCATCAGCTGTATCATGTTGAATGCATACTTTCTGCATTTGACATTCTTCAGAACATTCTCTATGCGGCATCCTTCTCTAGTGAAAGGGGGAAAAAGTACAACTTCATGAAACATAGAATAAATAAATATGCTTTATTTGTTCATTGCAGAGTTTCAGCAACAGTTGAAGTAAAAATAACAAGGATTCAACTCTACATTTTTGTTTTCCATGAGTGATGATACATCTTACAGAATTAAATCCAAGGCCAGGCCCAGTACACTTATTGCCCTCAGAAATAGGTGATAAGATTTTCCATCCCCCCTAATATATCTGCCCTTGCGGTTTAAAGTTCAGTAAAAAAATTTAATAACTTTAACGATACATTTTGTTCTAATTCCAGAAATATATTTGCCTTTTAAACCTTTTCATACCTTTCTTTTTCAATTGATTTGCTATATATGTGTGAGTATACATTGCCCTAAAATGCGCATTCTAGGAATAAGGAATTTTATTAAGTCTGGCCCTAGAGATTCGTGAAGGAAAGTTTCATCTCTGCTTCATTTGCTGTATGTTCAGCTTTGCAATGAAAAAAAGAGAGAATGGCTTTTCAAACAGCCCAATCCACCTCTCTGCTTTATAAAGGAAGGATGTTCGTTCACATACAGTACAAAAGTCACAAGTGCCAAAGTGGTGCATCAAGACATAAACAGGACTTTGTTAAAAAGAATATAAAAGTGTACTGAAAGCAAAAGCAACTAAAGCAACAATTACAAACAGGCTAATTTCATTACAAAACAGAACTTAGTATATTCTATTTACTCTACAGAAAAGGGTTAGTTGTAGCAAAGTAATAATAATTTATTAAACGAAAACAATCCCGTCAGCTAGTTACAATGAAAAAACACAACGGAAGATAAGTCTCACAAACCATTGCCCTGCCATATTTGTCTAGGGGTTAGTTTGTGTTGTGCAAATTTTTTTTTTTTTTTTTTTTGTCAGACTAATTACTCTGGAAAGAGGGATTCAAGCATTCAGGATTCCACAACTTCTATACAGTGACAGCATTGTAAGTGGGCTTTCTTTGCACTAATTACAGTGGGAAAGCTTTACCATGAACAGAAAGAGCAAATCAATTCACTCAATGCATAGTATACTTCTCGGAGTTCAGAAAAAAAGAATGAAAACACAGTACATTTCAGACATGGGAATCTTAAAGATGAATCCTTGGGGTCTGAGACTGTAGAAATATTACAACATGATTCTTTTTTTCTAGAGTTAGTTCGTTGCTGTTTGTAGAAAAGAAAGGAACACAAGTAAAGTTTATTGATATTTGGCTAATAGCAAAGCAAGACTTAAAATAAGCCACACAACCAGCAGGTGTGAGCTGACAAGCAGCAAGGCGACAGGATAGAAGTGTCGAGCAGTTGGCTTGTTATCAGTTAGACAGCCTGTTTCGGGATCATCCGAGTCAGTCAGTGCTCCCTGGGTCTGTCTGCTGTTAAACAGGGAAGTTAGGAACAGATAGAACAGCATTTCAGCAGCAAAGAAAGCCAACACGCAGGCATTTTGACAAAATGAAAGTACAGAGCCATTTTGAGGAAATAGATTTATCTAAGTACTTCCAGTATAACTTTTGTGTTCTACAGCTGACACAGGAAGCACCATCACTGGGCGGCTACTAGCATACTAATGCTACTAGGTGCCTTGGAGTAGTATTCACAAGTGAACATTAAATCACTTCCACAATGAACTACACCATCACTAAAATCAACACACACACTGAACAGAAATGAAATAAGGAGGTTGAAAAAAAAAGTTAAGGAAGCAAAGAAAAAAAGATCATGAGTACGTCATAATGCAACACTGAACAAATGATGTCTCCATGGTGCTCACAGGCTTTTCAGTCCTGCTTCAGTATCTATTAGGAAGTTTATTGGCAGAAATGAAAAGGCCACACACTAACAGCTATTCTAAAATAGTATTAAATGATGGTAAACTGACTTCAAAAATTCATCACTGCTGGTGACTCAAAGTCCATAGCAGTTCTTTTTATTCAAAGGCTCGCACCTGCATTCCTGTAAGTAAATCACCTTGTATCTTTATCAGTCAGCACAGGGAGGAGCTAATCTACTTAGAAGGAAGTTCTACTGAATCACGCTGGATTGTGTGGTCCTTGTCCTACCAGAGCAACAGGGACACTTCCACTGCCAGGCTTGCCTTTTGTATTCTTGACAGATTCTCTGTAAGTACAATTACTCACACTGCAACCACACTTCTTCAATTCCTCTGAAGCTTACTTGCATACACCCAGGAGTCCTGTTTATAGACTTCCTTTGGGCAGCAAGGACTGGCAAGATGTTTTTTTTTTTTTCTATTTACTATGAATATCCTGTGATGAAAAGATAACTTGCCATTTTTTAATGTGGACTTGAGAATATCCAAATATATCAGATGACAATGCAGTGCCCTTTCAGAAGGACATGTCACAAGTATGCTCTTGCTTTCAAGAGAGAAAAAGCTGGCAGACATGATCTTTACTGTCCCACAGCTGCAGGTAAGATGAAGAGGATACTCTGAAAACAGCAGCAGCCACATCACCTTACAGAAAGCCTGCCTTCTGACTCGTGTGTTAAAGGGCAATGCTACATTTCTTAAGCTTGGATAGCAAGAGAGGTGCAAGAACTGCATTTGCAGGTGGAACCCTAGGCAAGGGGGGGTTGATCAAAACCTTTCCTTGCCCAATTTCTCTTTTGAACAAGCCTTCCATAATAAGTTCTTAGTCTTAGTCTTTGCTTTGAACTTCAGTCTGTATGTTACACTAATAAAGGGATCAATACATACTATTTTAAATAGCAAAATAAGAGATAAAAAATAAAACCCCTACTATTTTCATCTAGGTCAAAGTAATTGCTGGTGGCAGGGTGTTTGCTGCTTTTGTTCTACAGATTTCAAGTGTCCATGGATAGAACTTGGGCAGAACTCAGACTTTGCTGTAGACGTTATCTCAGAAACTATCAAGAAATTAAGCTAATTGCATGCTTTATTGGCCTTGTCAGCACTGAAATAAGTAATTCTGTGTTTCTCTATCAGACTGCCCCAGCTATGCCTCTGTCCTAGGGCCCACCTACAGAACTTCCTTCCTCTTCTGCTCACAGTGACATTACTATTTGTGATCAGCTGGGAGGACTAACTTTATTGTTCCCAGTTAATGTTGTCCTCCATTATGTATTTCTATATACTTTTTTAAGAACCTGCTGCTTGCTGGTTTTCCTTTTCTTTTTTTAATCTCCACAGCATCCCACAGGTTTGTCCCTTTGACCCTGTCCCCCCACTCCCTTCCAACTCCTCAAGGTGAGCCTGCAGGTTTCAGCTTACTCCCCTTATGCCCACAACTCATGAGAAGTCCAGCTCAACCCTCCCAGTCCCATCTCTTCCTTCCCAGTCACAGAGTCCGGGTGATTTTTGTTTGCCCTGCATCCCTTCCATCACAGACATCACGTGTACTCCTATGCACACACCAAACTTTTTCTTCTGGAGAAATCCATCTGGGCAGCAGTGAAGTTGAGCATTCAGTAGGGTGCACAGCCACTGCATTAATCAGATTGATTGTTTACACCAATCTGGAGAGCCCTGGCTTTGCACACCAATGGTTCATTCCAAGTGTGAGTCACACACTTGCAGGTTGTTCCTACAGGGATGAACCCTCCTGCTTCTGTGGTGTGCCTTGCTCTGTTGGACTCCACATCTCAACAGTGTCTGGCTTTTATCTGCATTGCTACAAGTCACATTAGCTTCAGTGAGATTTATGTGGGAGTAATGATGGAAATACAGATAAAAGCCATTTGTTCTCTTTTTTTTTTTTTTCAACAGAAAAGCCTACAGTACATTTGTTCTTTGATATGCTGAAAAGAATGATCGGTGTCTTTTAACATAAAAAGTTTATCTTCCCCCCAGGAAAGCAACCGTGAACAGCTGACGCACAGGCACTCTGTTCCACAAATTAGTCACATCATTCAATGCATGATTCAATAAGATGTCCCCAAAATAGAGCAAGAGGATCCAAGTCCATTATTAGCTTCCTAAGAACAAGCTGAGCAGAATAGCTACGCATGCTTTTAATTGAGGAGGAATATTTGATCAGGGTCAGATGCCTTGCTATAGCGTGTGCCAACATTTCTCAGTGCAGTGCAGTGGCAGTGCCTTCCAACACACCCCAGAGTGTCCTCTGCAGTGACTATTGAACAAAGCAAAGACCTACACCCAGCTGTCAGCACCATAACATTGCTTCCCCTGGCTCACCCCACCCTGGAGGAGTTTCACTGCAAACAGCAGAAATCCCACTAGTGCCCTGTCAGCTGGATTCATGTGGCTTCTGACTGACAGCACAACCAGAACAGAGCGCTAAGGGTGCTACATGCTCAGGTGTGAAGGTACAGCCATAGTTTCAGACGTTATCTCCATCACAAATTGAACTTCAACAGCAAAAGGAAGGAAGAAAACTTGAAAAATAACCAGCAAGTTTCTATTTTACAAATAATTTAAACAGAAGTAGTGAAACCACCTAAGTTCGCAACATCTGGAGTCATGAACACCCCACTAACCTATCATACAATTTTTATTCATTTACTCTCAAATTGTTCATTTGAGACCTCCGGCACAGCACAAACACATTGTAGCAGCCAAGGGTTCTGTAAGTTAATGACAATATAACCATTTCAGCCTGCCTTCTATCTCAATTGATGTTTTATCATCCTAAACTCCTGTTAGGAGTTGCTACATGCTTATCAAATGAGGCAAAGGCAAAACAGCAGGTGTTTTTTGTTCTTTTCAAATTCAGCTGATAAATTATTTGGACCTCAAAGTAGTGAAGCAGAGATGATGAAAATGGTGTGAGGAAAAAGCCTCTCAAGTCCTTAAGAGAGTCAAGCACACACATGAGGGCACATTCTGGCTTTCGATTATCAGTCACACTGATGTCCCTGAGCAACGTTTTTGGAGGAGATGATTTTCACATTTTGGGATGTATGCTTCTTTTTTAGAACTTTTCCAGCTACAGTTATTAGCAACACTGGAAACGTTGAACTCTTCTACACGAT